AAAAACCAAAATGAAGATCACATTACATATATACACAATGGTTTTAAAAATAAACCATTTTGGAATTTTGGTAGTTTTGGAATAATTTTAGATATACAGAAAACTTGCAAAGCTAGTACAGAGTTTCCATACACCCCTTACACAGTTTCCTCTGATGTTAACATCTTGCATTACCGTAATACATATATTGGAGTTAAGAAATCGGGGCAGGGCGCAGTGGCTCATACCTGTAATCAGCACTTTAGGAGGCTGAGGCAGGTAGATCACAAGGTCAGGAGTTTGAGACCAGCCTGACCAACATAGTGAAACCCCGTCTCAACTAAAAATAAAAAAAATTAGCCAGGCGTGGTGGCATGTGCCTGTAGTCCAAGCTACTCGGGAGGCTGAGGCAGAAAAATCGCTTGAACTCGGGAAGTGGAGGTTGCAGTGAGCCCCCACTGCACTCCAGCCTAGGAGATGGAGAGAGACTCTGTCTCAAAACAAAGAAAAAGAAATGGGATCTCACTATGTTTCTCAGGCTGGTCTCAAACTCTTAGGCTCAAGTGATCCTCTCAGAAACCCTTCTATACTAAAAATACAAAAATTAGCTGGGCATGGTGGTGCGTGCCTGTAATCCCAGCTACTCGGGAGGCTGAGGCAGGAGAATCGCTTGAACCCAGGAGGTGGAGGTTGCAGTGAGCCAAGATCGCACAACTGCACTGCAGCCTGAGAACAGAGCAAGACTCCACCTCAAAAGAAAAAAAAAAAAAAAAAGAAATCGGCATTGGTATGTTATTATTCACTGAACTTCAGATTTCGTTTGGCTTTCAGCAGTTTTCCCACTAATGTCTTTTTCTTATTCCAGGATCCAATCCAGGCTACCACATTGCATTTAGTATACATACTGTTTTGCAACCTGCTTGTTTTACTCCACGTTATGTTGTGAATGCCTTTCAATGATGCTAAACATTCCTCCGCACCATCATTTTAATGGCTACATGGTATTCTGTTGATGGTTGTACCATTGCCAGTCCCTACTGTGGGATGCTTATGTTGTTTCCAATTTTTCACTCTTATAAACAAGGCTGGGATGAGCCTCTTGAAGTTAAATCATCTGGGCTATTCCTGTTTATTTCCTTACAATACATTCCTACTCATTGCTGGGGCTAAGGGGATAACTTTGTGGAGACTGGGGATACTTCTTACCCAACTTCCCTCCTGAAAGATTGTATTCATTTACCCTCATATTGGCATCAATCATGCTTTTTTTTTTTTTCGTTATGACAAGAAGGGATGTAAGAGCAGACTGACCCTTAAGAGCGTCTGTCTCTCAATGCCAGGCTTGTCAATACCATATCCTATCTCTCTAGCCTCAGCTCTTCTCTAGACCATGGTGTCTGTGTTGGCCAGGACTGCAATTAGCAGCTGGGGTGGGGGTTGGGTGTGGCCAGGCTATGGCCCCTGGGCTCTGGGGACACCTCCTGAGCTGGGAGTTGGGGAAGGAGCCTTCCTCCCGGGCGGGCGGGCAGCTGCCTGGGCTTTGTTCTTTTTCCTGGAGCTGAGCTGCGGGAGGGAAGGGTTGGGTTGGGGAGAGGGTGTAAGGAGAGAGGGAGCCCTTCTCTCCCCCCATGAAAGCTGAGAGGCAGGAGGGCAGCTCCCTGAGCCAGCCAGGGGACAGCAGACGGATTGGGAGAAACGTAACCTCCCCGAGATGCATGCTCCAGTTCAAGCAGGAGGCATTAAGGATGAAATATCTTCTGAGCAACAATTCATCTCTAACTGGGAGGAGAGGGACTCGCTGACATTTAGCTGTGATCAGGGGCTGCACATGCCTGTCTCCAGAAGCCTAACAGGAGCGTGACTGTCTGCGTGTACAGGAGACTCTGTGTGCATGTGTTTGCCTGTATGCATGTGTGTGTGTGTGTGTGTGTGTGTGTAATAGGGTGTGAGGAACTGTGTGTGGCTGTAATAAAGCAATGAGTATATAGGTGACATGATGTGTAAGACACTGCATATGTGATGGGATATGAAGGCTTATGTGTGACTTTTGTGAGGCTGTGTATGCATGTGACAGTACATGTGTAAGGATCTTCTTGTGATTGTGAGGATCCTCAAGTGTGTGTGAAAGTCATGTCTGTTATAGGGCGCTGGAGCCTGTATGAGCCTGTGTGTGATGTTGAGTAGTGTAGATGGCTGTGTGAGCGTATGGTAGGGTGTTATGCAGTACTCTGTGTTAAAGCCAGATTGACCCTGCAATTGGGCTTGAAACTTCATGAGATTAGGGATACGAGATAGTAGATGTGAAACTGACCCCCAGACTAAGCTAACCACCACCACCTCAGGACACCGCCAGCCCAGGAAGTGCCTTTGAGAGAGTTAAAAAAGAAAGGCACCCCTTCTGCCACAAAGACACAGCCACAGGTGGTGCTCTCCTGGAGCCTTCTCGTGCGGTGCAGCCTGAGTAACTCTAAGTGAAGACCCTGTGCGGACTCCCTGCTCTCTTCTAACAGTCCAGTGGAATTTTCTCCATCATGGCCCTTATGATTTGACTGTCTTTAACAATTTTGTGTAAATATTTGTTTAATGTGTGTACCTCTCTCTCCTGCTAGGCTGTATGCTCCATGGAGCTGGGACCACTGGTCTAGGTCTGTTGTGTTCAACGTTGTCACACCAGCTCCTAGCCCAGTGCCTGGGGCACAGTGGTAGCTCCATGAATATCTGTTGGATGACTGAATGGATAAGACAGGACATACATGTACAAGTGTCAGAGCACAGGAATATAGAAGTGTGGACCTGAGCGAGGGCATCCGTGTGCATTGGCTGGATGTGTGTGCCTGAGTGTCACTGTCATTCCCAGAAGACCTCCCTCTTCTATTTCCCTTTTTATAATTTTTTTTTGAGACAGGGTCTCACTCTGTGGTCCAGGCTGGAACACAGTGGTGCAATCACGGCTCACTGTCCCCTGAGTTCAAGTGATCCTCCCTCCTCCCACCTCAGCCCGGGAATAGCTGGGAACACAGGCACATGTCACCATGCCAGGCTAATTTTTTTCTTTCTTTTTTTTTTTTTTTGAGATGACATCTTGCTCTGCAGCCCAGGCTGGAGTGCAGTGAAACAATCTCAGCTCACTGCAACCTCTACCTCCCGGGTTCAAGCAATTCTCCTGCCTCAGCCTCCCAGGTAGCTGGGATTACAGGCACAGGCCACCATGCCAGGCTAATTTTTGTATTTTTAGTAGAGACAGGGTTTCACCATGGTAGTCAGGCTGGTCTCGAACTCCTGACATGATGATCCACCCACCTCAGCCTCCCAAAGTGCATGGTGTAAGCCACCATGCCTGGCTCTTTTTTCTTTTTTGTAGACACAGGGTCTCACCATGTTGCCCACACTGGTCTCTAATCCTGGACACAAGCGATCCTCTCACCTTGGCTCCCAAAGTGCAGGGATTATAGACAGAAGTCACTGTGCCCAGCCCCTCTCCTATTTCCTAAGCCCCAGCTCCAGACAGGCTAAAGACAGACATGGCCTGGAGACAGGAGGACATTTGAGAAGGAGTCCAGCTCCCACTTTGCACTGTGTTTGGTTGACGGCGGCAGTAGTGCTGAGATTGGGCTTATTGGCTGGAGGAACAGCATGGGGTCAAATCCTTCCCCACTCTACCCTAAATATTCTCCTGACTCATTTTCCAGGCCTGTTAGGGGTCCTGAGAAGAGTTCTGGGAATCGAGCCTGACTTCATCTGCTCCTGCTGCTTTAACAAAGTATCTTAAACAGGTAATTTATAAACAAGGGATTTATTTATTTATTTAGAGGTGGGGTCTTGAAATGTCACCCAGGCTAGAGTGCAGTGGTGCAATCTCAGCCTACTTCAACCTCTGCCTCCCAGGCTCAAGCCATCCTCCCACCTCAGCCTCCCAAGTAGCTGGAACTACAGGTGTATGCCAGCATGGCTGACTAATTTATATATATATTTTTTAGAGACTGGGTTTCTCTGTGTTGCCCAGGCGGATCTCAAACTCCTGAGCTCAAGCAATTTGCACATCTCTGAGTTTTAAAGTGCTGGGATTATGATCATGAGCCACAGCATCCAGCCTGGAAATCTATTTCTTACAGTTCTGAAGTCTGGGAAGTCTAAGATCAATGCACCAACGGATTCAGTGTCTGGTAAGGTCTTGCTCTCTGCTTCAAATATGATGTCTTTTTTTTTTGAGACAGAGTCTCACCCTGTCACCCAGGTGGAGTGCAGCAGCGTGATCTTGGCTCACTGCAACCTCTGCCTCCTGGATTCAAGCGATTCACGTGCCTCAGCCTCCCGAGTAGCTGGGATTACAGACACGCACCATCATACCTGGCTAATTTTTTTATTTTAGTAGGGGTTTCACCATGTTGGCCAGGCTGGTCTCAAACTTCTGACTTCAAGTGATCCACCCGCCTCAGCATCCCAAAGTGCTGGGATTATAGGCATGAGCCACCACCCTGGTCCTGATGTCTTCTTGCTGCATCCTTACATGGTGGGAGGGGCTGGGCAGCTCCCTTCAGCCTCTTTTCTAAGGACAGTAATCCCATTCATGAACTCAGAGCCCTGGTGACTTAATCACCTCCCCAAAGACCACATCTCTTATTACCACCACAATGGAGGTTAGGGTTCCACAAGAATTTCGGAGTGACACACTGGGATAGTAGCTGGGCCACAGGCACCTGGGACTGGACAGACCCTTGCAGCATTTCTCAGGAGAGATCCCTGTCCATGTTTTTCAGGCCTCTGTTCCAGGGCCAGCCCTTTACACACTGCCCCACACTGGGGTTCACAGAACCAATCCTGCTTGTGTCTCTTTATTTATTTTTTTTTTTTGAGATAGGGTCTGGCTCTGTCACCCAGGCTGGAGTGCAGTGACATGATCTCAGCTCACTGCAGCCTCTGCCTCCTGGGTTTAAGCAATTCTTCAGCCTCAGCTTCCTGAGTAGCTAGGATCACAGGCATGCATCACCATGCCAGGTGAATTTTTGCTTTTTTTTTTTCTTGAGACAGAGTCTCACTCTATTGCCCAGGCTGGAGTGCAGTGGTACAATCTCAGCTCACTGCAACCTCTGCCTCCTGGGTTCAGGCGATTCCCCTGCCTCAACCTTCTGAGTAGCTACAATTACAGGTGTGTACCACCATGCCTGGCTAATTTTTGTAATTTTAGTAGATACAGGGTTTCACCATGTTGGCCAGGCTGGTCTTGAACTCCTGGCCTCAAGTGATCAACCCAACTTGGCCTCCCAAAGTGTTGGGATTATAGGCATGAGCCACCACACCTGGGCCCTGCTTGTATATTTATGTGAATTACTCTGGCAGATTTTGTTACCAATGCCACATCAGCCCTACCCCTAGGTATGGCCTAGTCCCTGAGAACGAGGGCCCTGTGGTCTTGCATTTGGAGGGAGGTGTGCCTGGGGGGATATAGAGATGAAAAGGATCATTTGGCGGGGGGTTTGCAGAAGCAGAGATGAAATGAGCTAAGAAGCGTGAAGGGGACAGGAAAGTGAGTATGTTGGGGGCTGAATAGGTTTGGGGCAGAGCAGGAGGCAAATGGCTCAGCACAGGGGCCTGGCGATGCCCTTGGTGGGCAGATGGGAGGAGGCTGGAGTTCACCAGAGCCCAAGGTGGCCATCGGCATAGCTAGCCCCACTCTAACCCCTAAAATCTGGGGTGGTTCCTAAGGCTCACTCATGCTGCTGCTCTAGGAACAGAGGTGGGAACTCGCTTAGCTGAGGAAATGCACTCAGAGGGTTTCTTGTGGGAGTGATGCTCTGTCCCAGCATGGCCAGAGAGACCACAGGACAGTTGACAGAAGAGACTCAAGATGATGGCTATCTTTGTGTAAACTGTTTCTCTCTCTAAATGAGAGAGGAGGAACAAGTGCTCTACCAGAGCTCCTATTCCCACTGTGCTAATGGGACTCAGTTATTGGGGTGAAACCCAAGGGTTGCACTCGCCCAGTGGCTGCACTGACTCCACTTTCCCAGCCAAGGCTTGGGCAGACACAGTGTCCTGGGGGTGTCTGTCACACCCCAGAGTCCCCTTCCCTACCCACAGGAGCTCTAACCTTTCACCCTCCTTTCCTGCCCCTACCCCCATCCTTCTAGAGTCTGAAAAGCTTGCTGTTTGGTCTGGAATCTGACCTGAGGAGGCACTTCCCTGCCTCTGGCCTCTGGCCTCTGCCCTCTTTCCTAGGGCCCTCAGTGCTGCTTCCCTGGGGGTTCCCAGCCTGTGCAGAGACAGGCCCCTCCGAGGCAGAAGATATTTGCTCTGCTCCTGGCTTTGGGAAACCACACCTTTCATCTCCCAGAAGGGGGATCAGGACAGGCTCCTAGGGGATAGGGGAGGGGGCGAGCCTGCTCTCTTCTGTCACCATCCCCCAGCAATTTTCAAAGCTGTTTGGCTCCATATATGACTGGAACCAATTGCAGGCAATGTCCCTGTCAGGGCATAGCTGTGCTCATCCATTACCTGCTGGAATCTCGCCTACCGCCCTCTCAGGGGGACAGGCTCAGGCATTCAGTTGACCCTTGACAAGTTGGAAAGGCCAAGGGTATCTTTTCCTTCCTCTCTTCTCAGTAACTACTTGATCAGACTGCAGGCTCCTTGAGAATCGAGTCTTATTCATCTTCGCGTCACCAAAGTCCACATGGTCCACATGGTACTCACTAAATAAAACATGGAAAAAATGAATTAATGCAAGAGGGGGAAAGGGAAGACTGTAGCCCTTTTCTCTGTGGTGGAAGTGCAGAGAGGTTGTGCTTATTAACAGGTATGTCTATGGCCATAATGTCTTCTGGTGGTGGCAAGGGGAAACTGCTTGTTTCCCTCCCACCTGGCCACCTCCCAGGGTCACTCCATCATCCGTTTGCTCAGCATTGGAGGTGAGGTGAGGAGTAACTACTGAGCATTTGGGCTGGCCTCAAAATGTAGGTGGCCTTGTCCACATGCAGGGAGCCACCAACCCCATTTTTTCTGTAGACACTCTCTGCCTTGGGCAGAGCCCTGTGTCAGGCATCAAGAAGGGATCTAGTCTCAAAACATCAAACAAGAATCCAGTTCCCTTATTCCTACTTCTCCCCTCCGCCCCCCAACACTCTGGTACAATTTATTCAGATCTGTGAATTGGAGAGCAATTCCTTTTGGATTCCATGATCAGATCAAGAGATGCACGTTGGGCTCTGAACTCAATCCAAATGCACACGCTGAGTCCTTTCTAACCCCGTGCAGGGACTCAAACCATGTGTAACTGGAGGAGTTGACTACTTGCAAAAAACATAGGTACCTCTGCATCCCTGAGAGGACAAGAGAGTGACAGAGTCCAGGGGTGGGGAGAGGTGACAGCTCCTGCTGCCTCTGACATGGTCACTACCATTGGTAACTCTGGAGGAGGTCCCTCTCCCCAAATGCTTCAGACCCCAAGATCTCATTGTCCATGAAAGAGACATGGGATATCCAAGTCTCTCTATGGCATATCTTCCATAAAAGGGCAACTTGTCTCCATTCTTTCTGGGGACAACCTTTCTGGGAAATACATGAGCCAGAGCAAGACTATGATGATCTCACTGGACAGGCCAGCAGGGGAGCAAAGAGCTTATCTCCTGTCCCCAACCCCTTCTTCCTATGGCACTTTCCATTCATCAAGTATTTTTTCCTTTCCTTTCCCTCCCTTCCTTCCTTCCTTCCTTCCTTCCTTTCTTCTCTCTCTTTCTTTCTTTCTTCTTTCTTTTCTTTTTTGGTAGAGTCTCACTCTGTTGCCCAGGCTAGAGTGCAGTGGCATGATCTCAGCTCACCACAACCTCTGCCTCCTGGATTCAAGCAATTCTCCTGCCTCAACCTCCTGAGTACCTGGAACTGCGGGCACACGCCACCATACCTGGCTAATTTTTGTATTTTTAGTAGAGACAGGGTTTCACTATGGCCAGGATGGACTCGAACTCCTGACCTCGTGATCAACCCACCTCAGGCTCCCAAAGTGCTGAGATTACAGGTGTGAGCCACCGCGCCCAGCCTTCTTTCTTTGTTTACTCACCACTATACTAACAAGGACAGATTTTCTATATTGGTAAGTCCTGGCAGGAAATACCCTTTCCCTGCTTCCTTTGGGCTTCAGGGACCAACCTGCCTTCAGGGATCAACTAGACAAACCCAGCCTGCTTGTGCTCAGCAAAGATCCAAGAAAAGATGTAGGCAGGGTATTAGTCCCCCTGAGAGGGCAAGGCACGGCTAAGCTCCCCAGGGCCAGCCAGGCAGGCCTCTGTAACTGGTGGCAGAATGCCCACGGCTAAGTGGCCACAGGTTAGTTATCAACCAACAGCCCCAAAGCTAGAGCATCCAAGCAAGTAAAAAAGACAGTGCAGATTTCAATGGATTGTGGTTAGGACAGGCAAGGAGTCCGGAATCCAAAAGGTCAAACAAAGCAATGGAAACTTGAGCCTGAGGCAAGAATGATTGTGTGAGGCGGTGCCGTGGGGCAAGAGGTACAAGAGCTTATTTTGACCAGATGGAAATGATGGGTATACTCAGAGACTTCTAGACAGGAAAAGGGGACCTAGGGGTGTCCTTACAATGCTGAGGTGGTGGAGATGCTGCAGGGCCTAATATCATTATTAGGTGATCGTGGAAGTTGTTGTTGTAGTGAGATTCATAGTTATAGAGACTATAGTAATTACAGTAATAGCAGGAATGGGGTGATGAGCGGTCAGAGTGTTGCCATGGTTAGTGGTTGTGGCCAAGGGGATAAAGGGAATTAGGATGATACCTATTGTCATGGGGAAGGACATGGTGATACTGAAGCTAGAGTAACGGAAACAATCATTTTATGGCTGATGGCACTATCGGTGAATCATGGTGACAATAATTCTGGTCACAAGTGAAGAGGTGATTGTGATGGTGGTGGAGACGTTGACTTGTTATCCAGATGAGGGCGTGATAAGGTGATAAGGATTACATTGGTAAATATGACTCTTCATGTGGTATCATTGTTCTTTCTTTAATCCACATAATATATGAGATAAGCCTGATCCTTTAGAGGAGCTCAGGAGGAATATGTGATGGCCCTCGGTCTCCCTGAACCTAACACCTCTGTGATCAGACCTGTACTGTTTTTCCTGGTCCACTCTGTTCTGATTAAAGGCAAAGTGGAGATTGGAGGGTAACCCATAACCCAGCTTTTCCTTTTCTTTCTCCATCTTCCTAGGGACCTACTTGCTTCCTAAGATAGTCCTTCTCCAGGGTCCAATATAGGAGACTAAGGCATAGTTGGGCTCGTGGGCTGAAGCCAGAGCACTCTGGGTATGCCAAGCATCTGGCTGGAAAAGGAATAATGCTGCCAAAAGGCCCTTGCAGCAGTAGGAACAGTGGTTACTGTAACTATTATTCTTAACTCACGGCTGGTCTTCAATCTCTAATTGGTTTCAACCTCTGGTAATTCCCTTAATCTGCGCTGGCTACTAGCCAAATGTGGCTATTGCGCATTTGAAATGCAGCTAGTCCAATTCAGATTGAGTGTAAGATATACATTGGATTTTGAAGACTTAGCATGAAAAAAAGAATGTAAACTCTTTATCTCTCTTTTTTCTTTTCTTTCTCTCTTTCTTTTTCTTTCTTTCTTCTTCTTCTTCTTCATTTTTTTTTTTTTTTTTTTTTGTTGTTGTTGAGACAGGGTCTCCACCTATCATCCAGTCTGGGGATGCAGTGGTGCGGTCATAAACTCACTGCAGCCTCAAACTCCTGGGCTCCAGCAATATTCCCACTACAGCCTCCTGAGCAACTGGGATTACAGGTGCACACCACCATGCCCAGCTAAATTTTTAATTTTTTGTAGAGACAGCGTCTTGCTATGTTGTTCTGGCTGGTTTCAAAGTCCTGGGCTCAAGTGATCATCCCACCTTGGCATCCCAAAGCGCTGAGATTACAGGTGTGAATCATTGAGTCTGGACCTCTTTATCTCTCTAGTATAAATTTTTTTATTGTTCACATGCTGAGGTAATATTTTGAAGATATGGGGTTAAATGTAATATATTATAAAATTTAATTTCACCTTTTTAAAAAATGTGTCTACTAGAAGATTTTTTTTTTTTTTTTTTGAGACAAGTTCTTGCTCTGTAGCCCAGGCTGGAGTGCAGTGGTGCTATTACTAGATGACTTTAAATAACATATATGGTTCACGTTATGTCATATGGTGGTGCCTTCGCTCATTTGCTTCTCATTTGCTCGGGGAAGCAAAGGGAAATAAAGCAAATTCCAAAACTGTAGTAGGTTAACACCTAATAAGTTAGTTTCTCTTTACTGTAAAATCTAAGCAGAAGCACTGCAGGGCAGATGTGGCAGCTCCACTCCAGTGTCATGGCACCAGGGTCTCTCTTTACTGTGCCTACACCATTCTCAACACGTGGCTTCCATCTTGAGGTCTAAGATGACTGCTCTAGTTTCTATATCCATTTACATCCAGTGGAAAGGAAAGAAGCGGGTGTCAACTCCATTAGGGCAGAGTCCAGAAGCACATACTACTTCTGCTTGCATCTCATTGGCCAGAATCTGATTACCTGAACACAGTTGGCTGCAAGGGAGTCTGGGAAATGTAGTTCTAAATCAGGTGACGATGCTCCAGCTAACATTGGGGATTTTATCATTAAAGGAATAAAGGGAGAATGGCTACTGGGGCACAACCAGCAGTCTCTGCTACACCCAGAGGAGGGCTATTACCCAAGGCTCATACCTACTACAGGTCCAAGGAGTGGCTGGCACCACTAACAGCAGGAGGATGAAGCATATAATCTCCAAGAAAAGCCTGTTCCTTTTAAAGAGATGTCTTTATTTATTTATTTCTTTGTATGTTTTGAGACAGAGTCTTGCTCTGTTGCCCAGACTGGAGTGCAGTGGTGCAAACTCAGCTCACTGCAATCTCTGCCTCCTGGGTTCAAGTGATTCTCCCTGCCTTAGCCTCCTGAGTAACTGGGATTACAAGCACCTGCCACCATGCCTGGCTAATTTTTGTATTTTTAGTAGAGACGGCCTGGTCTGGCATGATAGCTCACACCTGTAATCTCAGCACTTTGGGAGTCCAAGGCGGGTGGATCACCTGAGGTCAGGGATTCCAGACTAGCCTGGGCAACATGGTGAAACCCTGTCTCTACTAAAAACACAAAAATTAGCCAGGTATGGTGGTGGCTTGAGCCTGTAGCCCTAGCTACTTGGGAGGCTGAAGCAGAAGAATCGCTTGAATCTGGGAGGCGGACATTGCAGTGAGCCAAGATCACCCCACTGTACTCCAGCCTGGACAACAGAGAGAGATTCTCTCTCTCAAAAAAAAAAAAAGACCAGATGTGGTGACTCACGCCTGTAATCCCAGCACTTGGGGAGGCTGAGGTGGATGGTTCACTTGAGGTCAGGAGTTGGAGACCACCCTGGCCAACAGGATAAAACCCTGTTTCTACTAAAAATACAAAACTAGCCAAGCGTGGGGGCTCATGCCTGTAGTCCCAGCTACTCAGGAGGTCTCAGCTACTCAGGAGGCTGAAGCAAGAAAATCACTCATCCTGGGAGGCCGAGGTTGCAATGAGCCAAGATTACAACGTTGCACTCCAGGCTGGGTGACAGAGCAAGACTCCATCTCAAGAAAACAAATAAATAAATAAGCCAGACACAGTGGCTCACACCTGTAATCCCAGAACTTTGGAAGGCCAAGGTGGGAGGACTACCTGAGGTAAGGAGTTGGAGACCAGCCTGGCCAACATGGTGAAATTCCATCTCTACTAAAAATACAAAAATTAGCCGAGTGTGGTGGTGCATGCCTGCATTCCCAGCTACTCGTGAGGCTGAGGCAGGAGAATCACTTGAACTGGAGAGGCAGAGGTTGCAGGGACTGGAGATCACACCACTGTACTTCAGCCTGGGCAACAGAGTGAAACTTCATCTCAAAAAATAATAAAATAAAATCAGGTAAAAATAAATAAAAATAAATGAATATATAAAGACAGCCCAAGTCCCAGCATATTTACAGATGTTCCTTGATAAGTACGATTTTAAGAGAGGGAAGAAAAAGGACAGTTTAACAAGAAAGAGAAAGAGGGAGAATGAGGACTGGTGCATGGCTGGGAAGTACTGTTTGAGTTGGAAGCTCTCTTGCTAGGACTGCACCTGTAATTCCAGTATTTTGGACATTTATACTCAAGGTCTTCATAGGTCATGTGATATAGAAACAATGGCTCCAACCATTTGTTAAGTAGTTCTGTTTATTACACTCCTGCTTGCCCACCGTCTTTCCCTCCACTTTTGACCTTCCCCACCTCTATCAGGTACCCAGGCCAGGCACAGAAGTGAACCCAAGAGACCTACGAGACCTGTACTTAAAGGAGTGGTGTGTCTGGGGAGTCAGAAAACAGCCAAGGACAATTATCTAGACAGCCACAGTGGGCAAAGGCTGAGACAGACACGCTGGACCTAGCTCTGACTTTTTCTTTGACCCGGACATTCTCAACAAAAAGATATTCAAAAGTAAAGTTGGTCTCCTTGAAGACAGGACCTAGCTCTGTCGTGTCCACCAATGTATTCCTGTTGCCTGGCACAGAACAAGAGTTTGGTAAGCGTTTTGCCGAACAGATGAATGAAGATGATTGGGCTTTTTCTCTGGAGTCAGATTCGGAGTTCAGCTGTGAGGAGGTTATGTGGGTTTTGAAGTTGGGGCTCCGCAGTGCCCTCCCACCTACCCCTCCTTTTCCAATCCCATCCTCCCAGGCTCTTTCTCTCGGTGATGGCTGGTCACTCAAGCCCAGTGTAGGCTGCTGTAGGGGAACTGGATGTGGTGGGCAGAGAGGTGGGGCAAGTGTGGGCTGGCCCTCCCTCAGAACCCACTGCCCTAGCAGACTCACCTTTGCTCTTGGACAAGGCTTCCCTGACGGCCGCCTCCACCACGATGCTCCTTCTCTTCCAGCAAGGGTCAGATAAGGAGATGGCAATCAGCCCTAGGAGAAGGCCTGGCCGATGGAGGGGCCCAAACCCCGGACGTCCCCCCTCCTCCCATACATCTTGGTGTCAAACACATTTTATTTCCTCACGTCTGGGGACCCAGGAGCTTACCCTCCAGGATTACTTCCTCCTCTGGTTTGTTTTCCAGCTGGAGACTCTAGGAGCCCCTCCGCAGGGGGGCGGCTCCTCCACTGTGGCCCACAGGCTTCAAAGAGCCCAGAGTGGAATGCCGCAGCCAGAGAGGCTGCTGGCCTGGGAGGAGAGTTGGAGGCATGGAAAGCCCAAGGTGCGGAGAGGGGTGGTCTTGCGGGGCTCTGGCTGGGTACCCCCTAATTTTCAAGCTGCCCCCCATCCACTCAAGGACCGTATCTATGGGCAGAAGATGATTTCAAAGGTCAGCAATGGGGGACTCCCTACCACCCCCACCCCCAGGGCTTAGAGGGGGGCAGGAAGTGCCCCCCCCATGATGGATTAGGTGCCTAAGAGCCATGTCGAGCTTATGGACGGGAGACCTACTCTTTTTTCATGGGGCTCAGATTTCACGATTGGGGGGGGTGAAATAATTAGTAATTTGTGATTAAGCCTTTTCATGGATATTTTGTTTCTTTGTTCTGTGATGTCGCCTGGAGCCATTTAAAAAATGACTTAATGACAAAGAAAAAATAATTGCTCTTTGTAACTAATGACTGTGTCAGAACTTGGAAATCACCAAAGCCTCAGAAAGTAGAAACTGAGAAGCGGGTGGGGGTTCCACTCTCCAAGGATTCAAATCCGGGATATGCTTGCACCTGGACAGCCCCCTGCCCTTCCCTGGAGCCAGCAGCCAGCACCTGCAGGCTCAGCCTGGTGGCTTCAGGCCTAGGGCCCCTTAGGCACCTTTGCCCCTGGGCTGAGAGGAATGGTCAGAATGCCCGAGGCCAGCCTAAACTGCCCCAGCTCAGCCTCACCTTGGAGTTGCTTCCTCCTTCATAAAATCCCCCGGAAAGACATTTCTCCCCACTCTGGTGGAGGAACAAGGGGAAATTATGCCCTCTCTTCTCCACTCCCGCAGCTTCCTATAGAGCTCCAGAGTTGCCCTGGGTTTCTGGATTCTTCTGGGTCTTTATATTTTTTTTAGTATTTAATTGTCAAATAAAGATTGAAGGCCAGGCAAGGTGGCTTAAACCTGTAATCCCAGCACTTTGGAAGGCTGAGGTGGGTAGATCATGAGGTCAGGAGTTCAAGACCTGCCTGACCAACATGGTGAAACCCCATCTCTACTAAAAATACAAAAATTAGCTGGGCATCATGGCAGGCGCCTATAATCCCAGCTACTTGGGAGGCTGAGGCAGGAGAATTGCTTGAACCCAGGAAGGCGAAGTTGTAGTGAGCCAAGATGATACCACTGCACTCCAATCTGGGTGACAGAGCAAGATTCCATCTTGAAAAAAAAAAGATTGAGCATATTCACAGGGTACAATGTGAGGATTTGATATACTCACCTGAATCTTTATGGCTCTTGTCTCCCCACCTAGACTGAGCGCTCCCTTTGGGGTGCGGGAAAATGGCCCTCTCCCTCCTGATGCTCTGGCCCCTCCTTCCCTCTTGTACGCTAACCTACCTTGGGCTGGGGCCCTGCAGACTTCTGGGCCATCTGAGGCAGGGATCTGGCAGGGCTCAAGCCCCAAGGACTCAGGGCAGCCCACCGCCTCCTGCCGCCCCCAGCCGCCTCCGGCAGCCTCTGGGGAATGGGCCGGGAGACGGGGAATTGCTCACGCAGCAGATTCCACTCCTGCTCCCTTCTCGGGCCCTCGCTCCGATCTCTCCCAGGGGGAATGCTGGGGGGGAGAAAACCGTTAACTTGTGCCTTCTATTTGGTTTTCCTCTGGTTATTGTTTAAAATGCAGAGATTATGAGGTCAAACTCTCCCAGCCAATATTTTTCTAATGAAAAATGTAGTAAGGCACGACTGAGTAATCTAATCTATAAGTTAAGCGTTCCACACAGCAGCGATTTTCACCGACAGAACTTCAATAAATCTTGTTTTGAGAAAAATGATATGAGGCTGATGTTCTATTTTTGTCAATTTGAATGGACTCCCCTGCCCCCCTCCAGTCCCCAGAAACACTGCACTGCACCCAGCCAATCTCCTTCTTCCCTCCCCCAGCGCAGCTGGATGAAAGTGGGGGACCAGAACGATAGCATGGGAGGCCTGAGTTCTGACCCAGCTTAGCTCAGAGGGTCTGGGGCCTGAGGCCTCTGCTTTAGCCATCTGTTCCCTGGGGCTCTTCTCCTGGTGAGAGGCTTGTCAAAGGGGTCAGGGGTCTTGAAGGAAAAGGCAGCCAGTGGTCTAGGAGAATGGTGCCAACTTTCCTAACCATGGAGTCAGGGCTGCCCAGGCAAGCCTATCTCCCCAGCTGTCCCAAGGCTGAGCAAAGAACAAACAGCAGGCCTCACGCCTTCCCTTGAGCCCCAACAAGCCATTGATAGATTTGGCAAGAAAGGCCTCACCTCAGGAAGAACTGGTGAAATCCATCCTCAGAGCTGCTGTTCCCCTTCGCCTGACTTGAACATGGAGACAGGCCAGAATGTAGGAGTAAACTCACTCCTAACAAAGGGTGTGTGTGTGTATGTGTGTGTGTGTGCATGTGTGTACATGTGTGTGTGCATGTACGTGTACTCATGTGCACCCGTGTGCAGGGTTCTGGGAAGGAAGCAAGGCTCTCTCAATGGATGTGCAGACCTCAGGCTGTCATGGAGGGTGGTGGCCAAGACTCAAATCAAGAAAGAGCTTTCTAGCCCAGGGAATATGTAGGAGGCCAGGAGAAAGAATATGGAGAAGCTGTTTCAAGAAACAGGAGAAGCTGTAAGGGCAGCCAGAAAGGATTATGGCACCTCATCAGAGAGAAATCAATTAGGAGAGGCTTCACAATGAGAGTTCCTCCCTCCTCCTCCCTCCTCCCAGCCATGATCCACCGAGGGGAACGGATTAAGTCAAACAGAGATGTCTGGAGACAGAAAGGTTTTTCTGGGTAAAGATATTCGGCAGCATTTAGATTTGGAAGAGCCAGAGGCTGCCTCACTTTGAAATCTGCAGGTATGGAAATCACAGACAGAGGAAACTTGACCTCTCAGTGTCCCGGAGAGCTGAGTATAGAGGCAGGAGGACTGGGGTTTGGGGTCTGAGGATCAGAGGATCCACGTTTTGACATTACCAACAGTCTGACTTCAGTCCTCAGTTTTTCATCTATAAACTAAGGAAAATAAGACTTATTATTATCCCACTTATTGAGAGCAAGGTTAGCAGATCAAGTAAGCAGATACATGTGAACATGTGGTTTAAAATACTGCACAAGGCCAGGCGTGGTGGTTCATACCTTTAATCCCAGCACTTTGGGAGGCCGAGGCAGGTGGATCACCTAAGGTCAGGAGTTCAAACAAGCCTGGCCAACATGGCAAAACCCCTTCTCTACTAAAAATACAAAAATTAGCCAGGCGTGATGGCAGGCGCCTGTAATCCCAGCTACTCAGGAGGCTGAGGCAGGAGAATCACTCGAACCCAGGAGGCAGAGGTTGCAGTGAGCTGAGATGAAGCCATTGCACTCCAGCCTGGGTGACAAGAGTGAAATTCCATGCCAGAAAAAAAAAAGCACAAATCTGGGTACAGTGGCTCATGCCTGTAATTCCAACACTTGGGGAGGCTGAGGTGGGCAGATCACTTGAAGTCAGGAGTTCAGGACCAGCCTGGTCAATGCAGCAAAACCTCGTCTCTACTAAAAATACAAAAATTAGCCAGGTGTGGTGGCACACACCTGTAATCTCAGCTACTCTGGAGGCTGAGGCGAAAGGATCACTTGAACCTAGGAGGCAGAAGATGCGGTCATCTGAGATTGTGCCACTACACTCCAGCCTGGGCAACAGAGCGAGACCCTGCCTCAAAAAAAAAAATTTTAAGTACTGCACAAGATGAGCTATGTATACAATTATTACTGCATTGGGCCAAGGAAGGAGATCTGGGAACAACTCTCAAAGCCCCATTATTTCTCTGGGTCAGGTTAAACTGGGAGACAAGGATGGGCGACTGTCATTGACCTGCCTCTGAAGTCTGAGCTTAGAGATTCCTCATGGAATAAGAAAGGAATTTGTATGTTTCTCTCCACTGCTGGGTGTGCCAAGGATCCACAACAGGGAGGTGACTCCAGGAAAGCCTTTGGGCTGGTGGAGATCCACAGTAAGGACAGAGGCCTACGGTCTGGGAAAGGGGCCTGGGAGAGAAGGAGTTTTTGATGGGGAGGGGAAGGGCAGTAGCCCCTTGTCTCCCAAGTCCAGGCACCAAAGCTGTGCTCCTTTCTTCCCAGGTCTTACCAATTCTCCCACCTCATCTCACCCTGAGTCATTGCAGGGGCTATTCTAAGGTTCCCAGCAGCTCCCCAGAAGGGGAGGGATGAGAGTTCTTTTTTAACCTCAAACGTCAAACATTGGCCCTAAGTCCCCTTTTGCCTTCGGACTCCTACCCACCATTTCCTTCCATTCAACTGTTCCCACCAAAGGTTCCTAGGAAAGTCAGCTCAAGCCCAGGGCTGCCAGAGCCAAGGGGCAGTGTGGAGGTAGTGGGGAATGACTGAGGCTGCTCAAAGTGACCCGGAGCTGCTGGGCAGCCTCAGAAACCCTGGAGGCCCAATTCCTAAGAAAAATGGAAGGTGAAAGGAGACAGGTGAATACTTCCTGCATAACTAGGGTGAAAGGATGAACCCAAAGCAAAGGCTCTCCAATTTCTCTGTGCCTGGGTATGGGGAGTGGGTACATCAGGCTCCAGCCAGAGCTAAAGGGTCTGCTCCCAGGATGAGTTTGAGAGTCCCTGTGGCCTGGCCCTGGTCCTCCTCTTGCCCCCAGAGAGGTCCCAATCTCCTGAAACAGTATGCAGTTACAGCCCCATAGACCAGGTACTAGGAGCCCTGGAAACTGGGGGGTTGTCAAGGGAGAGGGAATTGTAGTTGGAAGAGATGGGAGCTTGTGCACCATAATGCCCACTAAAAATTCAAAGAGCGTTTAATCACACAAGAACATTTTTAGGAGACAATTAAAAATATGATACAGGCTGGGCGTGGTGGCTCATGCCTGTAATCTCAGCACTGGAGGTCAGGAGTTTGATACCAGCCTGACGAACATGGAGAAAGCCCGTCTCTACTAAAAACACAAAATTAGCCAGGCATAGTGGTGCCTGCCTGTAATCTCAGCTACTCGGGAGGCTGAGGCAGGAGAATTGCTTGAACCCAGGTGGCAGAGGTTGCGGTGAGCAGAGATCGTGCCATTGCACTCCAGCCTGGGCAACGAGAGTGCAACAAGAGCAAAACTCCGTCTCAAAAAAAAAAAAAAGACACAAAGCACTAGATATAGAATGATAGAATGATCCCGTTTATGAAGCTAAAATAAATCTATCTTTTTTTTAAGTACTGGAATAAAACCAGCAAAATATAGACAGTGACTATATCTAGGTGGTAAGACTTTATGTGATATTATTTTCTGTATATGTCTCTGTAGTTTCCAAATTGTCTACCGTCAACATTTACATTTATAATTAAGAAATTATTTAAAAGCTTAAGAAGATAATTCTGGGGTTAAACTGACACCCTAAAAGTATACCCAGACTTTTGGCAGACCCCAGGCCCTCTGCCTAGTCCTAGGTCTGCTTTGGAGATCACTGGCTGGCCCGTTCTATGGCAGCCGCTGAGGCCAAGGCCCGGCAGCTGGGAGTCAGCTGTGCCTGGAGACAATCCGTGTCCAATGGGAGGTGGGGGGCTCATTTCCGAACTGGATGGGGGCCAGGTCTAGGGCCAAGTAGCAACCTGGGGCACCGGTATTCACAGCTCTTCCCCAACCTCTGCCCCTAAAAAGAGGACAGAGGCCTTAGAGTCAGCTTCTGCTCAAAGGATCTCCACCCACTACCCCAATGACTAGCTCTGGCCCACAGACGCAGGAGAGTGGGTGAAGATGGCCTCATCCCCAGTTCTGAGGCTCCGTCTGGATTTATGGAGCTGTGTTTAGGCCTAGATTTGCCCTCTTCCCTTTCCCACCCCAGGCTTCCTGAGACCATGACTCTGTCAGGGAAAGAACAGCTAATGAGAGTTGGGAGGGGGTCCTTCCGGGTTGGACCAAGTATTTGGGACCAAGGAGTGTCAGTTGATCCCAGCAGGGGTTTGGTAAAAATATGGCTAAGAAATTCTAGCCCACCTTCAAGTATTCAGCTGTGTTCAAGAAAAAAAAGCACACATAAAAAAAGACTTTTTAGACTATTTATTTATGAGCATATGTCAAAGTTTTATTTCAATCTTGCTACAGGTGAAGAGACCCATAAAAGGCCGGCTGCTTCAAGATGACTTCTTGGTAGACACGTTTAGAGGAAAGAAGAGAGGGGAGCAGAATTTTGAAAATGGACATACAAAAATAATGTCTGAAAAAAATGCATGAAACGCTTCCCATCAGCAGGTTAGATAGGAAACTGGTTTCTGAGAAGAAATCTAAATCCTACTTAAAGTTTATCAGAAAATTGCTTAAGCATTTTAACAAGAAGGCCTATTTCCTCCCAGAAGGAAATAATAAATTTCACTTGGCAAACATGCTGTGTCCCAGATAAGTTTGGGGGGCGGGCCTTTCATCTTCAGTTGGAAATTCTGGCTTGGCTGCTGCTCCAGGCTGCAGGCTTAGGCATGAGGCAATCAACATGTAAATTCCACGTTCCTGTGTGCCCAACCCTGTGCTGGGCACCAAGATGAGAATAAGACAGCAGGGTAGAAGTTGTGGAGAGGCTGAATTGTCTCTCTGCAAGGAAACAAATTCCTGACAAAAGGATCTGTCCAGGCAAGTGCCTCCAAAAGTTCTGAGTTCCCTCATTTTGGGGGTAAGCAAGGCCGCAGAGGAAGCAGGAGGCCTCGTGACAGATATTTTAGAACTATTTACCCAAATAGGGGACCTGGACCTCTGGCAGAATGCCAGATGATTTTCAATGGTGCATTGACAAGACATTAAATCACCCTGAATTTCATAGTGAGAAAGCGATTTCCTTGTCAATTCTCTTTCTTTATTTCCCTCCTTTTTTTCCACTGGAACTTGGGTTCACAAAACTGGATTAATCACACTCCTTGGTTCACAATATACTCTCACCATTGGTCGTTGCATGGTTTTCTTTTCTTTTTCTTTTATTATTATTATTTTTTGAGACAGAGTCTCACTCTGTCGCCCGGGGTTGGGGTGCGGTGGCACGATCTTAGCTCTCTGAAACCTCTATTTCCTGGGTTCAAGCGATTCTTGTGCCTCAGCCTCCCAAGTAGCTGAGATTACAGACATGCACTACCTTGCCCAACTAATTTTTGTGTTTTTAGTAGAGATGGGGTTTTACCATGTTGGCCACGCTGGTCTCTAACTCCTGGCCTCAGGTGATCCACCTGCCTAGGCCTCCCAAAGTGCTGGGATTACAGGTGTGAGCCACTGAGCCCAGCCTAGGTTTTTTGTTTTTTTTTATTTTATTTTTTTAGAAATGGGGTTTCACCATGTTGGTCAGGCCGGTCTCAAACTACTGACCTTGTGATCTGCCTGCCTCGGCCTCCCACAGTGCTGGGATTACAGGTGTAAACCACTGCACCCGGCCT